CGAACAACGGATGTTCTTAAACACTGCTGACTGCCATGGCGATTGCCAAATAAACCGATCACCAAATGTAACAAAATGGATCTTAATTATTTTTTTTTAATACCAAACAGAGAACAATAATAATCATGAGGTGCAAACATTTGTACACCATATCCGGATTTCGACAATTAATGTCTCTTTGGTGATGTTAAGAATCGAAACGGTATTTGGAAGGCCATATTATTTACCTCAATTTATGATAGACTCTTGAATTTTGAAGAGTCGAAATAGGATGAATGGATTATATAAACCCGAACATATATAATACAAGCCCAAACAAAAAAATATAAACAAGTATAAATTGAAAACAACGTTCAAACCTATGATTGCGTTGGATAAAAACCGCAATTTTTATACGTGTGCATGCAAAACAAATGTCTTGGTAGAGGGGTCTAAATACAGCACAAACAACATGTATATATATATATATATATATTGTCTATCATCAACAGACAAAATAGCTAATCTGAAAGGTACACCATCTACTTGCCACTATACACCTTGTACTGATTCAACCCTAGATAAAGCCGACGAGGAAAGGCATTCCATCGACCACCGAAAGCTGTATTTTTATGTAGCCTCGGTGGTCGAGTGATCTTGGGCGCTGGACACCGTGTAGATGTCATAGACACAAGGGTTCAAATCCCGATGACGGAAGAACAAAATTTTCTAACGCAAATTTGAAGATCTAACATTGTTGGGCTATATATATGGGTGTTCTTGTTCTTTGTATTTTCTTGACATTTCATCAGAGACTACCTTAACCAAAATCTGAGGTTACTCTAATAGACAGAAATTGTTTTATTTTGGCCCGCAACCATTAGAATCTGCAACAGAATACAAGTACCTAGGTATTGTCTTCAACAATAAGGCTAGACTAAATATAGCAGCTGAAAATCTTGCTGATAAAGCACGCAAGGCATATTTTGCCTTAAAATCAAAAATACCATATACTCAACTGTATTACAGTGGGAAAATGAGTGAGACTTTTCAACTCATTAATTTCACCTATAATGACTTATGGATCTGGAATTTGTATCTCAGATTTTAATATAAACAAAGACACGGCAGATAAACTTCCATTTGAAAAGGTTCAGAATATGATTATGAAAAATATTCTTGGTATCCATGGTAAGGCTTCCAATCTATCTTTACGTACAGAACTGGAACATTATCCATTATTGATTCTATCATATCGATAAATGTTTAAATAGTATGCTAGATTAACTGACATTGAAGTTGTGGTAACGACAAAAAAAAAATTATCTATTAAGATCTGCATTTATAGAAGATAAATATTTGTATTCGCAGAAGAGCTCTTGCTGGCTAAAATCATTATTCAAAATAAAAAAGTTACTTAATTTGGATTCACTTCAAGTATCATATACTGCGTTTGAGGATTCATGAAAAAAACTTTTATAAATGCAAGAAATTAAATCAACTTGAGCATACTAAATCTAATAACACAGGTAAACTCAGATTATATAGTAAAATTTGCTCATTATTTGACTTAAAAGCTAACCTACGCTTTGATATACCAAAATATGAGAGATCACTTCTCACAAAAATTAAAATAAGTGCACATTCACTTGCCATTGAAACTGGGAGATACAGTTAACCAAAAACTTTAGCAACGGAACGATTCTGCAAATTTTGCAGTGATAAGTAGAAGATGAAGTGCACTTCCTTTTATATTGTCCCTTATATAAAAACCTTCGAGAGAAGTTTAATATTTTCCAAACTTTGATTAAAGATGATGATATCAAATCAGTAATATATTTACTAAATCCTAATAATTTGGCTAAGGCCAAACAAATATATAATTATTAGAGACACGCTTTTGAAGTTCATAATAACGCAAAGGGTCCTCCCTCTTTTTTACTACACAGGCATGCAAGTGTCACGCTTTTTTTAAAAGTTGCAGGTTTGGCTAATTGTAGAACAGCTTAGTCTTAGTGTTAATAGCTCTCTAGAGCTTGGGAATGTCTAATTATTCCACTTTCTGTTGAATTAACTGAATATAAATACATGTTTGTGTGTTACAAAGGGTGCAAAACACATTATTTAACTCTCTATCACTTTTTTGAATCCCCTTAAACTCTGATTATGATTAACAAGCATTTGATAGGCCAATTATCATGAATACAGGTACAACAGTTCTGCTTTCTCTAGACAAAGTGCTCTTTAGATGGAGTTACCAGTCCCTTGTTTTTATGGGTAATCGGTCTAGAATCAACCAATTGTAATAACATGATGAGTGATTGTGTTTGCTTAATGTCCAGTAGCAAATATTTCATGCATATAATTCAGGATGAGAACCAACAAGAAATCCAATAGAAAGGTTCTTCCAAATGGATGAACTGAATAATAGACATTAGACTATTTATTAATGCAAACACATTTTTAATACAATAAATGGTTATGGCATGAAATACAAACTATAAAACAAGAATAACAATTGTATGATTTATACTGGAGTGGCAGTGGCTTTCATATGGTAAAAAACTGGGAAAAAATGTTGACATGTACAAATATATCGTCGTGTGAATCTTATAGTGTTATATGTCCACTTTTGATAAAAACGGAGATAGCTATATATTTGAGATCCAAGTCTATCTTTACGTACAGAACTGGAACTTTATCCATTATTGATTCTATCATATCGATAAATGTTTAAATAGTATGCTAGATTAACTGACATTGAAGTTGTGGTAACGACAAAAAAAAATTATCTATTAAGATCTGCATTTATAAAAGATAAATATTTGTATTCGCAGAAGAGCTCTTGCTGGCTAAAATCATTATTTAAAATAAAAAAGTTACTTAATTTGGATTCACTTTAAGTATCATATACTGCGTTTGAGGATTCATGAAAAAAACTTTTATAAATGCAAGATATTAAATCAACTTGAGCATACTAAATCTAATAACACAGGTAAACTCAGATTATATAGTAAAATTTGCTCATTATTTGACTTAAAAGCTAACCTACGCTTTGATATACCAAAATATGAGAGATCACTTCTCACAAAAATTAAAATAGGTGCACATTCACTTGCCATTGAAACTGGGAGATACAGTTAACCAAAAACTTTAGCAACGGAACGATTCTGCCAAATTTTGCAGTGATAAGTAGAAGATGAAGTGCACTTCCTTTTATATTGTCCCCTATATAAAAACCTTCGAGAGAAGTTTAATATTTCCAAACTTTGATTAAGGTGATGATATCAAATCAGTAATATATTTACTAAATCCAAATAATTTGGCTAATGGCAAACAAATATATAATTATTAGAGACACGCTTTTGAAGTTCATAATAACGCATAGGGTCCTCCCTCTGTTTTACTACACAGGCATGCAAGTGTCACGCTTTTTTTAAAAGTTGCAGGTTTGGCTAATTGTAGAACAGCTTAGTCTTAGTGTTAATAGCTCTCTAGAGCTTGGGAATGTCTAATTATTCCACTTTTTGTTGAATAACTGAATATAAATACATGTTTGTGTGTTACAAAGGGTGCAAAACACATTATTTAACTCTCTATCACTTTTTTGAATCCCCTTAAACTCTGATTATGATTAACAAGCATTTGATAGGCCAATTATCATGAATACAGGTACAACAGTTCTGCTTTCTCTAGACAAAGTGCTCTTTAGATGGAGTTACCAGTCCCTTGTTTTTATGGGTAATCGGTCTAGAATCAACCAATTGTAATAACATGATGAGTGATTGTGTTTGCTTAATGTCCAGTAGCAAATATTTCATGCATTTAATTCAGGATGAGAACCAACAAGAAATCCAATAGAAAGGTTCTTCCAAATGGATGAACTGAATAATAGACATTAGACTATTTATAAATGCAAACACATTTTTAATACAATAAATGGTTATGGCATGAAATACAAACAATAAAACAAGAATAACAATTGTATGATTCATACTGGAGTGGCAGTGGCTTTCATATGGTAAAAAACTGGAAAAAAAATGTTGACATGTACAAATATATCGTCGTGTGAATCTTATAGTGTTATATGTCCACTTTTGATAAAAACGGAGATAGCTATATATCCAAGTACAGTGTTCAATCTCCCTATACAACTGTAACATAAGATTTCTACACTCTACAAGTTTTTGTCAGAACTACACAGTTCTATCTCCACACTCCCATTGGATTATAATGGCTTGTTAATCTAGTTAATTCAGAGAAAAATATTTTTATTGTGTTGTATCGCGGTATTTTTGCTGTTAAATAATTGTTATCAAAATTATCTTAAATTGTTTTGCATGGTTTGAACTCAATCTATGAGCAATGCTTAGCAAAATCCAGCAGTACATAATTGGGGATATTACAAAGTTAAAAAATCTATGGTCTATCTCCAATGGAAATATAGGGATACATTTCTAAAAATACATTGTTTGTAGGGAAATGTTCTATCTCCAAAAAGGAGGATACATTATGTATCTAAGTTGCTTGTCTATTAAAAAAAAACAATCGAACAAAGAGTTAATCTCCATGTATCTAAACTCGATTCCTATATAACTTTTGATGTCTCATTCAAATATTTATGATACTGAGCTTTTAAACTTTGATTTAAATGTTTACCACTATTACCAAATAAATGGGAAATACATCATTATAAGATTCACATGACGAATTCTGAGTATTCTTGTAAAATAACTTATTTCTATGTACAATAACAACAAATGAACAAAGAAAACTTCAAGTTAAAAGACATGTTTGTTTTAGAGACTATCATTTTTATATTTTGCAGTGATTTTTATAATGACTCACTGGGAAAACTCTTCTCAACAGTGTGGACATATGCCTCAGTTATCTTGCTGAATATAATTCGGTAAAAATAGTGAGATGACATAAGAACAAATAAACAAAACTGTGTTTGAAATTTTTCAGGTATAAGCCACCACAACAAGGAGGCCCATCTGATGATCCAACACTGAGGCCGTATGTGTGGACTTATGATGAAGGTAGGAATTAAGCCTTACGTTTTGACATATGTGCCTTGATAAATTTGATCATTCAGAACTAAAAATTCTTTTCTACACAATGGGTTGTTAAACAAAAAATGCTTAATTGTTAGCAAGGATACTGTACTTACTCCAAAAAAGTTGAACTGTTCAATATACAAACAAGATATAAAAACAGGAGTTTCAGTTTGTTAAAATATTGAGACTAGTAGTTATATTTTACCTTATATAAAAAATCCGTAAGTCATGTTACTATTAATAATAAGTAGTTTATATTATAATTATTTGTCATGTTTTGTATTTCAGTTAAAATGGTGTGCTTGGGCAGCAGTTTATTGTTCTTTTATTAGTTTTGCAAATTCTCGTACTTCAGAAGACACCAAACAGATGCTCAGTAGTTTTATGTAAGTATTACATGTTCTATACAGTTGTATGCCAATAGAATATACAATGTTTGAAACATAGATGAAAAAAAAAAATTTTAAAACTGAAATTTCTTATCAAGGCAACTTCTCCTGCAGTTTTCAACTAGTTGGGGATTTTATTCCTATTTTTCCATACTTAAAAACTTTTTAGTCAATATTCAGCAAAATTTACAAAAGACAGTTCCTATTTCTATTATTAACTTCTCATACAGTTTTCAACTTAGACCATTGAACTTTACAGAAAGCTTGTACATATATTGTAGTTTTGCACCTTCTATAATGAAGTTGTATAATGATTTTTTCCTTCTCACCAGATTTGGAAACGTAAGCCACTCATCCTAGTTTTCAATTCAGATCCTTGAAACTTCACATGGAATATTGCACACAAATTGAAGTTGTGCACCTGCTGTTATGGAATTGTTCTAGGAATTTTTTCCAAACTTTCATCTATATTTTATATTTCCATATACAAGTGTATATTTTTAAATATTCATTATAAACCATTTTCCATTGTTTAACAAATTCTGTGCAACCCGTCCATTTGAGTCATGAGTTTATTTTGATATTATATTATGTATGTAATTCTGTGTATATAATATTTCATTTTCAGGTTATCAATATCGGCAGTTGTGATGGCATATTTACAGAATCCTCAGCCAATGTCACCACCATGGTAGCATTTTTTAACAGAACCTTGTTACTTCATTCAGAGTAAAGTTGAGAACTGTGATCTGTAATGTGTATACATTGTATGAATATATAAGAGAAGCATTAGGTCCTCTTGCGCTAAAAATCCCACATGGAGATATGGAAAAGTCGGCAGGTATGCATTCAACACATTTCACCTGAAGTAATATATTACTCTGTAAAAGGAAAAAAAAAGATTATGATATTAAAATAAGGAATAACATGAATAAGTGAGACAGAAATGTTACAGATTTTACTGATCGAAGAAAAAGGGATAGAAGTAGAAGTGCATGGGTACAGAGAACATGAAGAATTATTTCCTGTAGATGCTAGTATTTTTAGATCTGTTTAGCAGAAAAAAAAACATTTTGGCCACCGTTAAAACATTTTTTGTTTGATGTTGCCTACCCATTCCTTGTAGGGTTGGGTAGGTAGATAGGGATTTAATTGTTTTGGTGCCAACAACATAAGTTACATGTGTACATAAGAAAACACACATTAGAGTAGGAAGAAATCTTTGATTTTTTTTAATTTTAAACGATTTGTGTCATAAAAATTTTCGGGTAGGCTGCTTTTTAGGTGGTTGGGTAGACAACATCAAACATTTTCAATTTTTTTGGGCCTTATTGTCGTTGCATTTGCCATAAATATTTATAAGGCAGGATTTAATCTACCAATCAGAACATCAGTTTTGATTTTAAGATACTGGGTGCATTTCATTTACATTATATTAGCTTGTCAATTTCTAGCTGTATTTCAAAATAGTAGGCTCTCGTTTTCTAAATGCGATGCATTTATAGTTTAAATTTAACTATATATTTATGGAATAATGTTGATCGTGTGAAAATATTAAATGACACTATTATTCCTCATAGTCAATGTTAAACACAGCATTATTTCTTCAAAAAATGGTTATTAAAATTATGAAGTATGGCAGGCTGTATGTGCAATAACTTGTGAACAGTTTAACCAATGCTTTTCAAATTTTAATATCATGTTGCTACTGTAAATATTAAGTCAATGAACTATATGTAACTCTATAGTCTGGGAAAACACCAGAGTGCATATGTTTACTATCAAGTTGAAATTCTAATCAGATGCTAAACTGTTACTATCTATGTTATCTTTATATGAGAACTGTTTCCATGATATCGTCACTTGTGTGCTTTACACTTTACTGTAAACATGTATATAGTTTAGTTTAGAATAAAACTTATAACCAGTCTTATGTATATATATATATATATATATCAAGGGATATATAAATATTTGTATTAACTATGTATCTCTATCACACTGAGATCCAGTGGGCATATATATTGTATGGTTGTCACTTGTTTAGACTTGTTTGTATGATATACTTATTTCCAGTGACTGTATAATGAATTGAATCATTATCCCATACGGTATATAAAAATTGTTGAGTTAGATTGCTGACAAATAAAAAAATACATTGTGTATAAAATAATAATATAACATCTACACACGCTTAAACACATGTCTTATGTCTATCTCTAGATTCGCCTTCCGTGACAAGGTAACACTACGACTATTGAAGTTATATTTTTATATAGCGGATGTGGTCGAGTGGTCTAGAGCGCTGGACATGAGGCTAAGCGATTGGTGCTGTAGTGTATCAAAGGTGTGAGTTCGAATCCCGCTGAGGGACGGACAAAAATTTGTCAGCAGAAAAATCTAATTCTAACACTGTTGGGTGTAATTTTCAGACTTATATAAATATTTGTATTAACTATGTATCTCTATCACACTGAGATCCAGTGGGCATATATATTGTATGGTTGTCACTTGTTTAGACTTGTTTGTATGATATACTTATTTCCAGTGACTGTATAATGAATTGAATCATTATCCCATACGGTATATAAAAATTGTTGAGTTAGATTGCTGACAAATAAAAAAATACATTGTGTATAAAATAATAATATAACATCTACACACGCTTAAACACATGTCTTATGTCTATCTCTAGATTCGCCTTCCGTGACAAGGTAACACTACGACTATTGAAGTTATATTTTTATATAGCGGATGTGGTCGAGTGGTCTAGAGCGCTGGACATGAGGCTAAGCGATTGGTGCTGTAGTGTATCAAAGGTGTGAGTTCGAATCCCGCTGAGGGACGGACAAAAATTTGTCAGCAGAAAAATCTAATTCTAACACTGTTGGGTGTAATTTTCAGACTTATATAAATATTTGTATTAACTATGTATCTCTATCACACTGAGATCCAGTGGGCATATATATTGTATGGTTGTCACTTGTTTAGACTTGTTTGTATGATATACTTATTTCCAGTGACTGTATAATGAATTGAATCATTATCCCATACGGTATATAAAAATTGTTGAGTTAGATTGCTGACAAATAAAAAAATACATTGTGTATAAAATAATAATATAACATCTACACACGCTTAAACACATGTCTTATGTCTATCTCTAGATTCGCCTTCCGTGACAAGGTAACACTACGACTATTGAAGTTATATTTTTATATAGCGGATGTGGTCGAGTGGTCTAGAGCGCTGGACATGAGGCTAAGCGATTGGTGCTGTAGTGTATCAAAGGTGTGAGTTCGAATCCCGCTGAGGGACGGACAAAAATTTGTCAGCAGAAAAATCTAATTCTAACACTGTTGGGTGTAATTTTCAGACTTATATAAATATTTGTATTAACTATGTATCTCTATCACACTGAGATCCAGTGGGCATATATATTGTATGGTTGTCACTTGTTTAGACTTGTTTGTATGATATACTTATTTCCAGTGACTGTATAATGAATTGAATCATTATCCCATACGGTATATAAAAATTGTTGAGTTAGATTGCTGACAAATAAAAAAATACATTGTGTATAAAATAATAATATAACATCTACACACGCTTAAACACATGTCTTATGTCTATCTCTAGATTCGCCTTCCGTGACAAGGTAACACTACGACTATTGAAGTTATATTTTTATATAGCGGATGTGGTCGAGTGGTCTAGAGCGCTGGACATGAGGCTAAGCGATTGGTGCTGTAGTGTATCAAAGGTGTGAGTTCGAATCCCGCTGAGGGACGGACAAAAATTTGTCAGCAGAAAAATCTAATTCTAACACTGTTGGGTGTAATTTTCAGACTTATATAAATATTTGTATTAACTATGTATCTCTATCACACTGAGATCCAGTGGGCATATATATTGTATGGTTGTCACTTGTTTAGACTTGTTTGTATGATATACTTATTTCCAGTGACTGTATAATGAATTGAATCATTATCCCATACGGTATATAAAAATTGTTGAGTTAGATTGCTGACAAATAAAAAAATACATTGTGTATAAAATAATAATATAACATCTACACACGCTTAAACACATGTCTTATGTCTATCTCTAGATTCGCCTTCCGTGACAAGGTAACACTACGACTATTGAAGTTATATTTTTATATAGCGGATGTGGTCGAGTGGTCTAGAGCGCTGGACATGAGGCTAAGCGATTGGTGCTGTAGTGTATCAAAGGTGTGAGTTCGAATCCCGCTGAGGGACGGACAAAAATTTGTCAGCAGAAAAATCTAATTCTAACACTGTTGGGTGTAATTTTCAGACTTATATAAATATTTGTATTAACTATGTATCTCTATCACACTGAGATCCAGTGGGCATATATATTGTATGGTTGTCACTTGTTTAGACTTGTTTGTATGATATACTTATTTCCAGTGACTGTATAATGAATTGAATCATTATCCCATACGGTATATAAAAATTGTTGAGTTAGATTGCTGACAAATAAAAAAATACATTGTGTATAAAATAATAATATAACATCTACACACGCTTAAACACATGTCTTATGTCTATCTCTAGATTCGCCTTCCGTGACAAGGTAACACTACGACTATTGAAGTTATATTTTTATATAGCGGATGTGGTCGAGTGGTCTAGAGCGCTGGACATGAGGCTAAGCGATTGGTGCTGTAGTGTATCAAAGGTGTGAGTTCGAATCCCGCTGAGGGACGGACAAAAATTTGTCAGCAGAAAAATCTAATTCTAACACTGTTGGGTGTAATTTTCAGACTTATATAAATATTTGTATTAACTATGTATCTCTATCACACTGAGATCCAGTGGGCATATATATTGTATGGTTGTCACTTGTTTAGACTTGTTTGTATGATATACTTATTTCCAGTGACTGTATAATGAATTGAATCATTATCCCATACGGTATATAAAAATTGTTGAGTTAGATTGCTGACAAATAAAAAAATACATTGTGTATAAAATAATAATATAACATCTACACACGCTTAAACACATGTCTTATGTCTATCTCTAGATTCGCCTTCCGTGACAAGGTAACACTACGACTATTGAAGTTATATTTTTATATAGCGGATGTGGTCGAGTGGTCTAGAGCGCTGGACATGAGGCTAAGCGATTGGTGCTGTAGTGTATCAAAGGTGTGAGTTCGAATCCCGCTGAGGGACGGACAAAAATTTGTCAGCAGAAAAATCTAATTCTAACACTGTTGGGTGTAATTTTCAGACTTATATAAATATTTGTATTAACTATGTATCTCTATCACACTGAGATCCAGTGGGCATATATATTGTATGGTTGTCACTTGTTTAGACTTGTTTGTATGATATACTTATTTCCAGTGACTGTATAATGAATTGAATCATTATCCCATACGGTATATAAAAATTGTTGAGTTAGATTGCTGACAAATAAAAAAATACATTGTGTATAAAATAATAATATAACATCTACACACGCTTAAACACATGTCTTATGTCTATCTCTAGATTCGCCTTCCGTGACAAGGTAACACTACGACTATTGAAGTTATATTTTTATATAGCGGATGTGGTCGAGTGGTCTAGAGCGCTGGACATGAGGCTAAGCGATTGGTGCTGTAGTGTATCAAAGGTGTGAGTTCGAATCCCGCTGAGGGACGGACAAAAATTTGTCAGCAGAAAAATCTAATTCTAACACTGTTGGGTGTAATTTTCAGACTTA